TACTTTTTTTGCTTAATTGCATCCACTGCATTCAGTTTTCTGTGAACACACAAAACTATGTAATGGGATTTCAGCCACTGTATATGTTACCAGTGATTTTCACATACACCAGACAAAATATCTTGCCTATGTTGGGTAAGAAGGTGGTGGTATTGTTCTGGTTCAAGAGGCTGAGGGTCTTTGCAGAATTTTATTTCTTATTGTCTATTGTTGCTGAACAGTTATGTCTGGATCCAGATATTTCTTTAAGGTAATGTGTTAAGTAAGTGTGGGCAGTAGATTGTTGCTATGGCAACTAAAGCATAGTACTTGCAATTAAAAAAGCTGCTATACAATCCAGGAACATAATGCAAAAACTTTGGTTGTATGTGAACATGTCACATGCAATGCAGAATTTCATATATAAGGAACATGGATATTTTTGTTATACCTATGTTCTTTCTCAAACCTGTGCACATGTCTGAAGAAGCTCCGTTGAACAAAATGGGGGATGCTATGGAGTTAATATAGGCATTGCATTGGTGGGACACAATTGTTCAGATTTCTTCAGAAACAAGAAGTGGTTGTTATTGGGCAAAATTTATTTCTGAATGAAATTTTAAAAAAATTAAAAACCTTATTTTTGTTGGAGCCATTGACATTTTCCTCAAAATATTGCAGGAAGCATACAGTTGTAAAATGTCATCCATATGGAATTATGAGTTGGTCTTGCCAAGGCACTTGACAACATTTCTTTAATGTTCGTGTCTCTGGTAACTTACCTGTTTCTGGATTGAATATGAACTCCATAACAGTAAACATAATGGATGATTTCCTTTGTAATTTAAAATTTTTAATTTTAGAAGCCATAAAAGCCTTCTTGAACAAAATCTATTTGATTAAGGTTACATTGTTAAGTGAATATAGAAATAGGCTTTAATATGTTACAGTACTATATTAAATTCAGGCCTACTTTAAAAAGATTATTTTAAAAAAAGTTATAATAGTTGCCTTTAAAGCTTCAAAATGTATTTAAATAAATAGAATTTTAAACTTGTAGCATATCCTCATTTTTTAAAATTTGGCTTGAATACAAAAAACTTCAATGAATTGTAAAAAGTGATAACTCCCCAGACACTGAGCATGCCAGGTAACATGCAAATAATATATCCAAATAAATATATAGATTGCAAAGATATATGAATGTTGCAATTGTGCGTGTAAGAACTTAGTCTGAATTTAATAGGTGAAAGGTAGAATATGTCAAAAAGTTCTGGTTTATAATCCTAAATTCATAAAGTCCCACTGAACTCACTCAGGGTTACTTTTGACCAGGCATGTATACTGTGCTATGGATGTGAATTCAGATTTGGAAATATTTGGAATTCAATGAATAATGCTATATTTGTAGAGTTCTGACTATATCCAAATCCAAATTCAGTAGTTCTGATATCTGTAATAATTCCTGATATTTGGAGTCCTATTTATTTCAATAGATTTGAAAGCAAAAGGCTGTAGGAAGAAGTGAAAGTGAAATGTATTTCTCAGGCATCCTGGAGTGATTTCTGGAAAAATGAAACTTAAAGATACTCTGGCACCAAGGGTAGTGGTGGCAAAGACCTGAAGCATCTCTTGATTGGGGGTTTCCAATCCTGGAAGAAAGAAGAGTTGTACATTCTAGCAACCTTCTGGGACCTCTTAATTAAACAGCAGGAAATGGATATTAAGCAGCAACAAGAGAAGGGCACTGGCAGCTAACTTTCCACTATATGCAGCAGCTATTGAAAAGGTCCAGCTAGTGACACAGAGCAGGAAAAACTAGCAATGTTCATAGCACCCCAAACAGCAGTACCAGCAGTTGTATTCTAGAGCCCATTTCCCTCACTCCTGCAACAACAGGGCAGGTTTTCTGGGACACTGTCTTCACAAGCATAGCAGAGGCTGTCCTTCAGAGAGACACCACTCCAGAGGAAGGAAACAGCAGAGGTTGAAGTAGAAATGAACATGCAGGAGGCCTGCAAGCCAGAAGAGACCACCTCTCTTGTCTTACTGAGCTGAGTAGGAGGCTGGAGAGGTCCCACCAAGGTGGCAGTGGGACTGCTGTCTTGACCATCAGCTATCGTACCCGGTGAGAAAATATTCTCTCAGGCAGGCTACAGTGTCAGTCCACATCACTCATGCCTGGGACCTGGATCTGTAGGGAAAAATACTTTCCTTAAGGTCAACCCACCATTGCTGGGCTTCCCTGAAGTCCCCTTTAAGTAAGAGAGAATGGCAGACTCTGCTCACAGGATGCAGTAGGCCATGCTTCAGTTTTCTGCCTGCTTGTTTCTACTCCACGATTATGCTTGCTCACTCACCCGTACTGTGCCTCATGCTGTTGGTTCCCGCCCACCACAGGCTGCTGCTCCAATCTGCCTACCAGTGCTATCTGGGGTATTTGTTCACTCTGTAGGGTGACCTGTCCTCAGCTTCCCCGTTTCCTGCTGGCATTCCCACTGTTCATGGTTCAATCAGTATAACCATTCCAGTCCTTTCCTAATAGCTAGGTAGTGCTAACTGTTGGTGTGCACTCTTTTTGTTTGGCATAATCACTGGGAAAGTGTCAGAGGACACAGGGAGATCTTTTAAAATGTTTTGTCTGTTAGTGTTTTATTAAAGGTGATAATAATGACCGTATAGTTTTCTTACTGAATGTAACAGAGTTCTATATATCTTGAAATTCTGTATGCTAAAATTCTGAATTCTGAATCTGAAGAATCAAATTCCAAATCTGAAGTTTGAATCCAAATTTTGTTGCTAGTGCACATCCCTATTACTGTGCTTTTATACATTCTGAGCAGGACTGTAGAGAAGTCCTGCAGGTCCGACTTTTGTAGAAGTGGATGGATCCTGTGCAAGCATAGTGTAATCTCCATAATAAATTATGGTTTTGCTTTTTGGTGTTTTGGAAGGAAAGGCGTTTCTTGTTCTTCAGACATGACAAGTTATTGCACAGCAATATTTCATATTATCTTGGGAACGTTGTTGCTCAGTTTTTGGAACAAACCAAACAGGCCACAAGACTCCTGGCAACGTCTCTACATGCAATTGGCATTTTATTTCCAGAGGATACAGTCCTTACCTCTGTGTACCTGCTAATCTATTTAAACTGTTCTTACAGTTGCACAAGAGTGAATCCGAAGCATCAAAGCATTTTTCTGAGGCCCAAGAATTTTGTCCTGACCTTAGGATCCCAGTTTTATTGAATTGCTGAGATAGGAGTGTAATGCCAGAAATACAAAAGAATTGGAAAGAAAGGAGCTGTTTCAAAGGAACTATATTTTGTGGACTCTCAGTTCATACAGAATAATACAGTACTTTAAAGTAAGCACAGAAGAATATTTTAAAGTGTTATTTCATATTTAAGGACATTATATACGAATAGTCTGTGACAGAAAGGATAGGTTTTTCTCATAAGGTGACCCCTGATACTGCTTAATAACATGAGTGCTACACTGTGGAGCTTGATTGCAATAGTTGCATTGCTGAGAGAAACAAAATAGCCAAAGGCATTGCTTGGCCCATCTGAAGTGTGTGCTTAAAAATATATATATATGTCTGCTCCCATTTTTCTGTTTGACCTGTTTTCTGCTCTAACATGATTTGTTACAGCTGAAGTTCTGTGGAGGAATCAACTTTCATGTTCATGCCCAAGAAAAGTATAGTAAAAACATTCTGGGTACATGGAAACAAAAGTTGAACTTAAAATTCATCACTTAAAGCACATACTAAAGAGTCTACCTGAAAGTTAAGTTAATCCTTGCCTTCATAAAAACCAAAACCAAAATAGCTTGTATTGAATGAGTCGTATTCCGCCCCCCCCCCCCGTGGTGCTTTCTGTAAATTAGATGGTTGTCACATACACATCTGTCCTTCCTGCCCCTAATGAGAATTCCCTTATTCCTCTGGAATGAGTCCAACCTACTGATTTACATGAGTAAATCACTTTTGCCATTTGGCAGTGTGGTTTGCCAAAAATGGAAAATAAATAATTTTTAAAAATATGTTTTAAAATATTTTTAAATTTTTATTTGTGCTTGCTTGCTTGTTTATTTGTTTGTTTATGGCACCAGTATATCACATTGGCTAGGACAAAAAGGTATCCTGATTTCAAAATGCAGCAAATTTATTGAAAACAATTTTTGTTTAAACAAACAGACATAAACTTTTACACATTAATTGGCTTGGGGACATTGTTTACTATTCTACGGGTGATGATGTTAGAGAACATGTACATTCCAGTCTCATGTTCTGTGGATTCTGCAACAAAATACAGTATGACTCAGTGGAACTAATATGTTCCATCCTGTTACATGAGTGTTAAGAATGGTTGTGGAAGAAATACTATCAGCTTTTGCCACAGGAATGTACAGTATAGCTACGCAAGTCTCAATTCAACTCACTTCTCTTCTTCTAATGGAAGTTGACTGTAGGGGAGGTTAGATGCAAGCATTTTTATGAAATGGTTATGTAGAAATCATCCTATTTTTTGTATGGTTGCCACCAATGGAAGATGGAGTTATGCAGACATTTGGTGTTCTTAGGATACCTCAGAGTGTTGACTTCAATTCTTGAATTGGGGGTTGCAGTCTGCATTATTTACTATTTGGTTGTCATTTTAAATGTACCTATTAAGGAATTGTTGTTGATATTATGTGCAGTCAAGTTGGAACCGACTTATAGTGAACCTAAGAGGGTTTTCAAAGTGAGATATTTAAGGAGTGGCCTTATCAGTTCCACTCTCCCAGTGAGTTTCCATGGTTAAGCAGGGATTCGAACCTTGTTCTCCAGAATCCTAGTCCATCACTCTATCCACTCTAGCACACCAGGAACCCTTATTAAGGAATAAACCCCACTAAATTTTGCAGGAGTTTCTTCTGAGTAAACATGATTGTACTGTTACTACTGAATGTTTGGAAATGCTTTGGTTACAGACTAAAACTTAGAATTTTATTGTGTCTTGTTTTCTTTTCTTGCAGTTCTCTGTGCAAAAAATTTGGTGAAAAAGGATTTTTTCCGTAAGTAAATATTTCTGCATTTGTATCTCCAATCTGTCTCGCATAACATTTCCTTGTTTCTCGGCATTGGCTCCAGTGTGTCAGAATCAAGCATTTAGACCCCTGATATAATCTTAGTTGGAGTGGCTTTAGTCAGAGTATTTATTTAAAACATTTTAACCTGCCTTTTTCCTTAAAAAAGGACCCAAGGCTGCTTACAACTAAAAGACAGTATTTAAGTTAGTAACAATGAGTATGCAATTCTAAAAGAATTAATGAATACAGTACCAGAAACATAAGCAACACCAAAACACATTCAAAACCCCACTTGGCATCCATTTACTCAGAGAAAGCTTGCCTGAAGAGAGAAGTCTTTGCCTGCTTGGGGAAGAACATTAAAGATGGGATCAGTCTAGCCTCCTCTGGGAGCGAGTTCCAGAGTCTCTTGCTCTATGGGCTGCACGGATGATATGTACTGATACTGCTGTATTTGAAATACAGTATTTCTGAACCTCTATTTTTGACATGCCTAACTAATCTGCATTCTTTTAAAGGAATTTTGTAAGATTAATAATTAATTTTCATTTTTCTAGATTGTCTAGATATCAGTGTCAAAATTTAAACATAGAACATAGAATATACATAGAATGTATGTTTTACACAGATACTGTACATAAAATAATATATTTTAATTGGACCTAAAGCTCAAAGCCTTGATCCAAAGGCTCTGCTTGTATGTTTTACACAGATACTGTACATAAATGGTTTTGTACAGCTTCCCTTTAAAGAAGCTGTTATCACAGAATACCTAGGAGATCTCTTGAATTTAAAAGGCTGAAGGAAAGGTTGGTATAAGAGCAGTTGAAGAATGGAGTAGTAGACCTTTGTAAGAAGTGTTTTCACTTGGTTTTCATTTTGATTTATTTTGTGTGAGATAACATTAAAGGGTTTGGGTTCTTTTGTGTCCTCATAGTATAGAGCATTTATGAATTAAACTAAAGCTTAATTTGTGGCTACAAAATTAGAGGACTCAAGAAGCTTCCCTTTCTGTTGATTTTGGAGTGACAGAAAAAAAGTCTTCATAATGTTTGAGTTGTGAAAAAGTTGTAAAAAATCAATTTTCTTTTAGTTTTCATGTTGATGGCCTACTGTGTCTTGAGTTACCCATGTCATGAGTCCAGATAAACAAACTCTGAGTGACATGTACATTGTAATGAACAAACAAACAGATAAGAGTATAGATATTCTTACAGATTTCCTTAGAGAGAAAGTGTAGTGGATTTTTTTCCCATTTAGGAATGTTATTTTAGATTATAGTGCTTGAAAATGCATTGGTGCTGTCAAGATGGAAGATGGTTGATATAGGAACAGATTTTGAAATGGCTTAGAGTTTCTCAAAGCAAATTAAGTCCAAAAATTAGGGTCCTGCTCTTGTTAACAGAATAAACATGGTAAACATGGAGGAATTATGTGCTTGTTACACAAAACTTGACAAATGGCGATCAGTCATTACAAAGATGTTATAAATTAATTATACGCCCACCCTATTATGTATTTTTCCTCCCTTCTGACAGGGCTTCCTGATCCATTTGCTAAAGTGGTGGTTGACGGATCTGGCCAGTGCCATTCTACAGATACTGTGAAGAATACCCTTGATCCAAAGTGGAATCAGCATTATGACTTGTAGGTGTCAATAGGGAATGATCAAACTATAGCCAGACTTCACCAATTATAACCTTCTATTCAACAATAGAATAGAAATTTGTGAAATGAGGTAGACTCTGATGATTACTTTGAGACTTTACAAATGTCCAAGAATTTATTAGCTGTTCTGTTCAATTTCTCTGCATAGTTTACCTCTTTTTTAAAGCTGAAACACACTAATGCTATCTAGTTCTTATGTGGTGCTGTTATGCTTTATCTAAAAATCTAAGCTTAATTGGAGAGCTGAATATTGTTATTCTCATGTCAGTTGGTAAATGGCAATGTGAGGTGAACGTGTATGCTCTTTTCCACCCTGTACTTTTCCTTTAAGAATCTCTCTACTCAGCTATCATGCTCCTCACTGTGTTGGAGACGATGTCAACATTTAGTGTTGTGTTTGCAAGTATGTTGGGCTTGCTGCACATAGTATATTTCTTGAAGGAAGGGTTGTAAAAAATTGAAGGTATTAGTGTTTAATAGGTTGCTTTAGACCCACAATTTACATTGCTAAATCAGTTAGAGATAGTCTTTTATTTAGAGACATTATCATGTTTCTATTAATGGTAAATGGACTTGAAATAGTGTAGCACTGCAAAACACAAGCAGAATTGGTACAATTCAAGTATAGGTGAGATGACAGCCAAGAAACTCACCAACATTTGTAGATTCACTAAGAGGTTAGAAAGAAACAGATTCATTTGGGATATAGCTCATGTTTACTGAGTATGTTAACTCTTAAACTGGAATTAGCTGCCCATAATCTGATGGATTCCTGTGGAATTAAAAACTAACCAACAGCCTCATGTCTCTCAGTGACCTTCCAGAATACATCTTACAGTGGTTATCAATATGCCAATCAATTTAGAGTTGTCTTGGCTTATTTATGTCTCTGTAGAATTTAAATAAGTGCAGTCAGAAAATTGATAGAAAAGTGTTAATGTTCTTCGTTGTTTTCTTTGACTTTTCTTTGTCTTTGTTATTTCGTTGTCTTTTATTTGACAGATTAAAATAGCTGTTTTCTTGCTTGACAAAGGTGGTTGCAGGGTGGAAAATGCAAAACAGCATTTGTTCCCCCAGCTCCTTTTTAACAGGTGTATCCATCTACTGTAATTGTATTGGAGCCTACTAAGACATAATGAATGTGAACAGAAGGAAAACCACTGAGTAAAGCAAGATGACTGTTCTTACACTGTTGCTTCTGTATAATGTATAATTAAATACATACAAATAGCAGTAGGGGAAAGAGTGGCTAATTGGCTGTGTAAATAGTGATGACATTATCAATGGTGATTTTAATATTTTATTTCAGTTTCATTTAAAACTTCCTCTCCCCCCCCCAAAAAAATTGGATTCTAAGGCTCCCTAGGGATCCCTTTTGTCCTGGGGAAGCCTTTGAGAGCCTTGGGACAGGGGAGTGAGGAAGTCTGTAATACCAGGAAATTTCTGGCAATGGTCCTTCTGCCAGACCACAGGCAGTGCTTTGCAATAATAAACCTATTCCCAAAGCTCCCACAAGTTTCCTCAGGTGAAAGGGCTCCATAGGGAGTTTTGGAACCTGAAAGAGAGGATAATACATTTTTAAAATAAAATAAAATATTAATGTTCCCAAGTGATGACATCATCACCGGTGGAGTTGTACAACAGGATTTCAGCCCCTGTGATCAAGTTTTAGCCTGATCTGTAATTGTTTGCAGTTGTGTGATTGTAATATCTGTATTATATATGAAACAGCGAACGTGTTGGGCTTGGGTCCCCTCACTTCAATAAAGATAGAAGGTTTTCTTTAGAGAATCATGACAACCTCTGCCCATATTTATATTTCTGGATCAGTATGAACGTTGGATGGCAAGCAGTCCGAATCTTTGAAATTAGTCGCCAGCCACTATATTATGTTTCTGTCCTCCAAGAAAGAGAGAAAAAAAATATGTGAAGAGTCTTGCTTTCCTGTAATTCTGCATGTCTTTAAACCTAATTAAAAACAGTAGATATGGTTGAGGGTACTTAACTATCCTTTAATTTGAATGATAATGCCATTTTCCTCCTGGAAACATTTAGTATTGTCTTAGATTTGAAATCTTTAAATACGATAGCTTTTTAAATGCATGTAATTAAAGTACCTTGCTCCCTTGATCCAGGCTATATACATTCATCTGGGACTATATCTCACTGAGTAAACTTTGTTGATCAAGTGGCTTGAATTTTTTTTTGCTTGCTTTTTCATTGTGTCATTTAAATGCATATAATTGAAATCATTTTTTCAGTTCCCTGATTCGTTATGCTTAAGAGATGTTTAGTATTCCTTTTCTTTTGCAGAAGACTAGGAAATACCATAATAACGATAGAATGCAGTATTCTGCCAAATATTAGTGATTAATCCTGCAGTCTGTAAGATTATTTGCTTCACTATCCTGTTCTGAAAATAAGCATTTAGTACATTCTGAAGGCACTGTAATAATGTTTACCCTGACAACACATTATTGCATGGGAACGCTGGTCTTTGACTTATGACACATTCATTGTTACAGGAAATAGCTTGCACGCCAAGGATAACAGTGTCTCGATGGCAAAATGCCCACTTGGTCTCTGTGGCTGCAGAACAGTGGTGATCAGCCAGAGGAAGGGGCAAATATGTGACATTCTTAGAAGTGGTGTAATATAAAATCCTTCGGTTTTCCTTTTTTGTTTTAGGATGAAAAATACAGACTTAAATCATACACATACAAACACACACACACAATGACTGGAAAAAAGGCTGTCTCTTGGCTTAGTGGTGGCTTTTGGTTATGAAAGATCCTGGCTTAACGTTTAGCAAAGAAATTAACACTCCCATACCCCTTCCAATGAGAGTATTCCCTCTTAAGTGTGAAATTTATTTGTTGTGATTTATTTGTAAAACAGAGCTTTCAGATTTATTATGAGAATGTGGAATTCTACACACTTAACTGTAGTAATTTTTAGTATTGCATATTATTTTTCAATTAATATTTGCTGGTTCTAATAGAAGTACAGTATTGCTTCCCTGTGAGTTTTTAAATAAAATAATTGTTTTTAATTTCAGTTACGGTACGATATAACAGAGATTATAGTTAGTAGAATTTGTCTGCAGATTCTGATCTTCAGTCTATTTAGAAAAATCAAGTATTTGTTCCAAAAAGCGTAATCCATATATCATCATCTTGAATACAGAAGCTTTTCCTTATGACTTTCTCATATTTTTTTAATTACCTTTGGTGAGACTATTGGTTAAATGATCTTACTGTTGTAAAAGGAGAATGCAGAATATAGAAGTTTGTGTGAGAGACTATTAGAAGTCAATATTTTTTAAGTTCTTGCTTTGTGCGCTAGAAATGTTGTACTAGCAAAGTAAGCTTCTCCAGCTTAGTTTTTCCCACCTGATTGCAGCTGCTTTCCCCCCCCTCCCAAATAGAGATCTGCCCTAGCAGTTGGCTGATTTTTGACTGGATGTACCACAGAACTGATTAACCCTTTTGTTGAAAATCAAATGGGAAGAAGCAAATTCACTGATCTGTTTCTCTGTATTTGAGCAGGAGTTGGGTTACTGGGTTTCTAACATTTATATCTTTGTACATACAACATGCATGCTCCACACCCAAAACACTGCCATTCTCTCTGCCAAAAGATACAAGATCAAGGAATTAGTACTAGGAGTGATATGCAACAGTTCAGTTATGGTCACAGTTTTGGTAAATTAATAATAATAATGATAATGATAATG